CCAACAGAGTCACAACCCTAACCCCAACTCTGGAAATCCTAGTAATCACGTGGAGAGCGAGGACCGGGCCCTCGAGAGGTTCCAGAAGTTTGCCCCACCAAAGTTTATTGGGGGACCCGATCCAGATGTAGCCGAAAGGTGGCTAGAGAAAATGGTGGATATCTTTGCTGCCCTGCACTACACGGAGGAACGGCAGGTGACTTTTGCTGTTTTCCAGTTGGAAGGGGCGGCCCGTTCCTGGTGGAACGTAATACGACAAAAGTGGGACCGAGAGCAAATGCCCAGGACTTGGGTGAACTTTATGCGGGAGTTCAACGCTAAATTCTTCCCTCCTTTAGTTCAGGAAGAAAAGAAGGATGAATTTATCCAGTTTCGTCAAGGGACCCAGACAGTGGCCTAGTACGAGAGCCAATTCACTCGGCTATCCAAATTCGCGCCCGAACTCATCGTGACCGAGCAATGAAGAATACGGCGATTCGTCCAGGGTCTGAACGTGGACATCCAGAAAGATCTAGCCGTAACCCAAATTAACGCCTTCAGCAATGCCGTAGAGAAGGCGCAATGAGTAGAGAATGCTAGGCTGCAGGTGAAAAACTTCCAAGCCAAGAAAAGGGGCTTTCCTGGGAGTAGCTCTGAGCAAGAAGGTACAAGTACACCCCCTAAGATTGGAAAGGAAAACGGGGGAGTACGACAACCAAGGGTGTCGAATGATGTCTCTCAGGGGGGACCGGTCTCTACTACTCGTGGTCCCTGTGGATATTGCGGAGGGCCAAATCATACGGAGGCAAATTGTTGGAAGAAATAAGGAAAATGTCTGCGCTGCGGAAGTGCCGATCATCGGATTGCTGACTGCCCAGTTCGATTGCGAAAAGGAAAAGGGACCCCGCAACCAACTAAGACTAACCCTGGACAGTCGGAAAAGGAAGGGGCTGGATTGAAGGTACCGGCTCGGGTATATTCTTTAGAGCACCATCAGGCCCCTGACTCATCTGAAGACGTAGAAGGTACGATCCGTGGGGTACATTAGATTTTGATAGCTTCCGTTGATAAGAAAAAATTTCGAGGACGAAATTTCTTTAAGAGGGAGAGAGTGTGAGGACCCGTAATTTCTTAATTTCTAGGTTTTATTTTCTTTTAATTGCACGCTTTTTCCCCATTTTCTTTATTCAAAAAAATTTTAAAAATAATTTTTATGAGTAAATATAGTTGTTAAAATGATTTTTCTAGTATCGGTTAGTTTTTGAGAAATTAAGAGCGTATACCGGACGTGGGACCCGCTAATGCGGAAAGTTCTGTAAAATTCGGCCAGTTAGGTTAAGTTTTGGATACCGGATTTATTTTAGCAGGTGTTAAGAGATAATTAGAGGTTACCCAATGGATGAGAGTTGGAGAGACAAAAGGATAGCCATGCATTAATGAGAGTGACAAGTGTCACTTGGAGATTCAATCTTGCATTTGACCACTATTCACCACTTTACCAATTAATACAAAAATTGACCAAAACCATCTTCATTTGCAAGCTTCTTTGGCCGGCCATCTTCAAGAGAAAAGAAGAGAAAACTCTCAATTTTTCTTGCCTCCAATCTTGTTCAATCTCTTAGTTCAACCGAGTAAACTTGGATTTTCTCCATAAAAACCCTTAGTTTAGTGATTGTGAGGTTGTTAGTGAAGTGGATTGGAAGACCAAGGTGCTAAGTTTTCTCCTTTCTTGAGTTGATAAGGTGAGTAGCTAAGGAACCTCTCTTTTCTTCTTAATGATGTGTAATTAGTGGCTTGTAGTAGTCTAAGAGGTGATTTTGTGGGCAATTCCATGACTTTTGGTGGAGATTGGTGAATTTTTCTATTTATTCATGATTTTTCTGTTTTCATATGTTTAATATTGGTTGGCCAAGAATGATGGTTGGGAATGATCTAGAATGAAGCTATAGTGCGTAAATTGTAGCGAATTGCGGAAATTTCCACTTTGTGCGGAAAATTCCAGATTAGGGTTTCCATTTTTCCCCATTCTGTTTGGTACTGTTTCTCCTAGTTAGAGGCCGAATTGGCTTTAGTGTAAAACATCAAAGTTGTAAATAATGATGTTTTATAGTTGCCTGCAAAATTTCATCCCAATCGGAGGAATGTAGCCTGTGAAACAACTGAAATACCCATGCTGCCCTGTTTCTGTCCGAAACTGATAATCAGCTTCTGTAATTGGTTAGTTTGACCGGGAATACTACTGATTTGGTTGTCGATGTCTTCTTACGAATTGTAGCCTTGTATCTTAGATTTCAAATGGCTTTAGAATTACCTAAATCGGATTTGTGTGTGCTGAGATATGCTTGAATGAATCGAGACTGCTAGTTGAATTTCACAGTGAGCTCCGAACTGGAAAATTTGGGGTTATTTTAGTAAATTTGACCTAGTTAGGGTGAGAACTGGACTAAGTAGTCTTCATCAAAGATATAGCCCTCTGTCTTAGCTTCAAAACGATATAACTTGTACTTCAATCCAATAAGCGTAGTTTCGATTATGTCCGATACGCTAAGTAGCAGTGAATCTGTCTTTTTGGTTCCTTAGCTTAAAGCTCATTTCCGGTCATTTTCCTAGTTAAATCTTGTACTTGAATGACTTTGAACCTATTGAACAGCTGTTGTGATGAATTTATATTGCGTATGACTTTGGAATTGATTGAGGAAAATAATGAAGCCATAAGTGGCTGGGAAAATAGGTAAATACAGAGGGCATGCTGCCCAAAATTTTAGGGCTACGCGATTCTTTCAATTGAGTTGATCTTAGTACAAATGAAGGGTTTTGGGGGTTGTTTGTAACCCTAGGACCAACTGTTATCTTTTTACTCAAAAGTCATATTTTATTCTTTTGTACTACTCCCTCCGTCCCGTTTTGTTAGTCTTGTTTTCCTTTTTCGTCTGTCCCAAATTGTAGTCCACTTTCCCACTAAGGAAGGTAGTAATCTTTCAAATTGTCTAAAATACCCTTATTAAATATCTTGTTATTAATACATTGTTATTAAATACTAACCCACTACATTGAATACATTGAGCTTTTCCAATACATAGATAAATGAAAAGTCTATCTTTGTTATTCTTTGAAATTTATTTATATCAGGAGGGAAACAAATAATGCCATCATTATTTACAATTTTTCTAATGAAACACCAACAAAAGAATATGATCTCATCTCAACGAGTCAAGAATGTGCACAAGTTGTCTTTGAAATGCAGAGGATTTTTTTGCCCAAGTTGAAATCGGTGATTTAAATCTTCTGGAAGATGATTTAAATCAATGAAAGTATTTTTTTGCAAAGTTGAGGAGACGTTTTCTGGCAAAATATTCAAATCGATGGCACTAATTATGGATGAATTATCCATTTTTAATTGCCTTTGCTTAAGCTTAATTAGTTGCCATATTTATAGAGTTCAGTGTAAAAATTGAAGATAATTTTGGTGGGAAGAACTTGAATCCACTATTGGCGGATGATTGAAAATGAAATGGAGTATTAGCGGCAACTGATATTTATTGGCACTATTGGCGGTAATTGAAACAATCAGGGTGCACTATTGGCGGTAACTGATATTTATTGGCACCATTAGTTGTAACTGATATTAATTGGCACTCTTTGTGATTAGCATAAGGGTATTTTAGGAAATTATTAATCTAAATTTATGTTTCCAACCAAATTAATTACACTTTCTTAATCTGTGTGAAAAAAAAAACCAAGACTAACAAAACGGGACGGAGGGAGTAGTACTTAACCTGGAAAGGCGTACGACATGTAGTCGAGTCTCACTTGTGCATTCCGTTTACTCGATTTTGGATGTGAAACCTTCAATTGTTTTACTTTGATGATTTTAGGGTTTCTTGGCGATTAAAACCAGTTTGAAGTGAAAACTTTTGAAGTATCTGTACTTGAACCGGTGAGTGTACCACTCTCCTCATTTGCTGTTTAACTTGGTTTCTGCCCCTGTAATCTGCGATTTAAATGACTGCACTATCTGTTTATTCTGTTTGAGACGAGCGTGTACTTTATCACACTCGTTCTCTTGTCTGTCCATATGCCTATTTACTGTGTATAATCTGTTAACTGTATCTGAGTCTGTTCGGACATCGTTTGGAGGCTGGTATCCAACGACCTTTTCTGTAACCTCTGAACTCAACACCTGTGGCTAGTTACTCAAGTCGGGCCGGCAAGGGCCTAGTCGATTAGATAACGAACCACGGTAGTCAATTTTGGGAATATTTGGGTATTGAAACTCTTGATTCCGGTATACTCGAGTATTACCATTACTGTTCCTGAATGGAGTTAGGGCCCGGTAGGGGTATGTTTGGTGGACGGAAATTGGTGTAAAGTGGGGTCTACGGATATGTTGGTTCTATTTACGTTGACGGAGAGTCAACGGGTTCGGATCAAGTACTGCAAATGGAAATCTGGCTCCTGAGAGCCACTTGTATCCTTTCCCTTTGAATCACTGTGTCTAAATGCTTTCCTTTGTATCTAGTATATGTATCTGATTGATTAAACGTGAAAGGCCATGATTTTTCCCCTATATGTTTGGTACCTCATTGAGCGTAAGCTCACCCCTTTCTGTTGCCTTTGTTTTCCTTACAGGAGACAAACTTGGGAATCACGGTTTTGGAGGAAAATGGTCAAGCTAGTATATATGTCATGTTGTTAACTCTTTTGAAAATGAAGCCCTAATTGTATTTTGTGTAGTATGAGTACCTCGGATCGCACTGTAGGTTAATTTGTTCAAGACTTCAATGTAAATATATGTATAAGTGTTTAACCTTGTCTATTAAATGTATTTCGTTGAGACTATGATTTTATGGTTTGGTAGGCATGTTCTCACCTTAGTAGTTTCCGATTGTTCATTTTCTTTGAATCCTATCGCGTGTACTATGTTGGGTTTGTGTGAATCGACTCACTGAGTCCCGGCGAGAGTTGGGCAGGCGACCCGCCGAACCCTTTGATTCGCCTTAGGGGGAGGTGGGGCCGTCACATTGATGTAAAAGCTAGATTACATGGTTAGTATCTCAAGGTTGCATAAATTTCTTGAGTCTATCTTAAGATATTTCTTTTTTTGTGTCTTTAAAACAAATCAGGGTAATGGACCCTACCTGGAGAAGGCCAAATTTTTTGATGTAGGAGAGGTAATGTTTGACGCTAAAACTATACATGAATATGTAATAGATATCATTCAATCAGGTAGTGAATTTTTGAGGGGAAGGATCTACCCCATTGGCAATACAGTTCATGTGGATGGCAATCTCCCAGTGAAAAGGAATGTCCATGCAAATTTCTTGGAGTTATTTTTCGAACTCTGTAAAAATCCTCAAGTCCTTTAAATGGGCAAGTCAAATACCTTGATGGTACTTGCAAACAAACTAAAATTAGAAAAACAACAAACAAGTAAAAAAAAAAAAAAAGAATGTAAGGACTATTCCTATTGAAACCAGTTTTCTTATAATATTTGAGGGATCTGAACAAGATCCAAAGTCTAGATACGTTGTTTAAGATGGCTTGATCCCTTGAATGAAATTTGATTTGGGCTATATTGCAGGTGCAAAAGGTTTTCCAGTGGCAGTAACTTGAGATGCTGGGTTCCACCTAAGCTACTTGCACTCTTATGTTAGTATTAACTTCTCAAGAACTAATTCTACCATTTCATTCCTTTAAAAATCAAGCATTGATTGATGTTATTATCTTCTAAGAATTGAATTTTACTAACTCTTTTTATGCTGTACATTATTCATATTTGTTGTGCTTTGGACTCAGCAAGGCTTGGCATAGAATCAGTAACGTGGAATTGAAAACGCTGTTGAAGGCCTGATGGTAGCTCACTGTTTTTTGCTCACAAGACACACTGTGAATAGCTAAGGCAAGGCATCTTTTGAGGAACCTTTGCTATATTATCTAAGATTATGCGATCCCAAGATTTAGGTCTTAAATTGGCCCAGTTCAAGTCATCCTTTGCAGCTGGACTAGAAAAAGTAGGAAAACTTTTTTACTTGGGGGGATCTGTCCGGGCTTTCTCAAAAGGAAGACTCTTGCACTTTAATTCCAAAATGAGAAGGTTAAGGAACAAGTCTGTGTGAGTGCAATGCTTTCTGCATCGGTTTATTCTCATTGTGCAACTCATTGTCTGATGTCATTTCTTCATATGGTCAAATGCAATTCTAAGTCTAGTTTGAGAGTCTACATTCACATTGGTGAGTCCCTGGAAAATATACGACGAGGACAGATAGAGTTTCTTGAGGCTTAGAGCTCTCGCAGAAGCTGCATGAAAGATGATTCTAGCTGGCTATAGGGATTTTCACTCATGAGGTACTTCTCTTTGTGATGAAGTTATACTGATTCAAGAAAATTGATTTGATTTTCACTGCCACTTCTGATTTATTTGTGATTTCATCAAATTTTCATAATCAATAGAATCAAAGAGGTCTTCATGATTGCCATTTATTTTAAACTTGTGAAATTGTGAATCCCATTGTTTATTTTAAACTTGTGAAATTGTGAAAGAGGTCTTCATGATTGCCATTTATTTTAAACTTGTGAAATTGTGAATCCCATTGCTTACAAGGTAAATTACAAGGTAACGAACAGACAGATGGATAAGCCAATACATGGGAAAACTCCTGGTTGGATTTTTAAGTCATCATGTGTCCTTACTCTTATAATCATGCATATACTTCTGAATCTGCTGCTTTCATTTTTTGGAGTGTAATTATTATTGCTCTTAACCTTGTGATGATCAAAATGCCTTATCGCCTTGTTTGTCTCCATTTAGATGACAAATGCTGCAAATGAGGCTTGTCAGACCTTTCAATGAAATATAGCCTGATCGAATTGAGAGGCATTCGTCTGAAGGGTTCTAAGTTGGCACATCTGAAATGCTTGAGTAGTAACTTTCCCACCAATCCATCAGAAGACTCCCTATAGGGTGTGAATCTTCTTATCTGAACGGAAGATGATGTCAGGAGGGCAGCTGCCCCAACACTGAGTGGTGTAAGAGTTCAAAGCTTTTTGAACTTTGTGATTTATCATTTTTTAATTGGATACAAAGTTGTCACAATTTGCTCAAATTCTAAGGAACTCTGGTCTACAGCTGTCTCATTCCTTGGATAGGGTATTATTTAAAAAATTATTTGGAATAATTACTGTAGCACTTTTTGTGATGTGATGTATATGAGATAAAAAGGTGGTTAGAAATATAAAAAGGTGAGTTGGGAAATGTGTTTATGATGCAAGTGAAATATTATTTGAGATAATAGTGCTATCCAAACACTCCTAAGCTTGTTTAACTGATCTTTAGATACAGGCTCTGAAGAGATTTCACATGGCCACTTGTACATATCATATATTTATCAGATTATCATCTGCTTCAGTTTAAATTATGCTTCAGATCACTCAACTCTGTGCTACATGCTCTGCCTGAGTATATTTCGTAGATTTGAAAAATCTATTTGGAGTTGGGGCTTTGTTGGATTATATTCTGGGACTGCTTACTAGAATGATTTTGACACTCATTCTCCAGTTTCCCCTCCACAATAACTTGTCTGCAATATGATCTAAATGATGAGTTGGATTTGCAATATTTCAGTGTCAATTGTATTTTGTACGTTTCTCAATCAGGAGGGAATTGTTTCACATAAGTGGGGATTGCTTTCACAAGAACTAGTCATGGTCATAGAGATTGTAGATATTCCTTTTTGCTCTCTTTTTTTTTTGGATCCCAATTCTTTTTGAAATTCTAAATTCTCTCACCTCAAGTGAAATAAGAAATATATCTAGGAAAAAAGATCATTGGAAGTACCTTTTATTTTAGGATTACTCTTTTAAAGATCATTAAAGGGTCATTAGTATCACTTGAAATTAATATTGTAATCTAATCTTTATTGTGCCTTTGTTATCCCTTTGTCTTGCTGAAATGGGCATGGTCACAATGAGATCTTATCTTGCTAGGAACAGTTAAAATGTAGTATTACTAACATTTTAGTACTTCTGCAAAGGCCCAAATCCTGTATATATTATTCTGCATGTGTGTTAAGTTGCAGTTCTACAATCATATGCATAATTATTTTAAAAGAAAATTTACTGAAGCTCATACTTACGTTTGTTGACTGAACAATTACATGAAAACATTTTTTTAAAAAAATTTAAAAAAATAGATGGGGATTGAATTTTTTTTTTTTTTTTTGGCTTCTAGGAAGGATGCTCATAATGCTCAAGATCATTGGTTTTAATTTAAATTTTTCCTTGGGTGGTCAAATAAAATGATAAGTTTACTTCTTCCAAACTTTTTCCGTTCAAGAATTGAGATTGTTTAAGACTATGTTAACGAAAGAAATTTTGGGATATTTTTACAAGTCAACAACTGAAAGGTCCTAAAGTTTCTCCTTTTTCTTAAGGCAAGATCAATTTTGTCAACTCAGTGCTTCGGATTCGTCATTTTTTGCTGCTTATCCTATATTTCTTTTCTATACTTAGCTCAGCTACATGCACTACGTATCACTCTTTTTTCCTTTTTCTTTTCACTGGGCCTTTCGCTCAAGCACAGGATAGCTTTTAAGCAATCAGACTGTCTTGACTTGTTTTGAAATTCAAAAAGCGTTAAATTTTGTATGGATGATTGTCTATCAAAATATTTTACAGCACAAGATGCTTGCAACATACCATTAACACTTCGGAATCATTCTTCATGGCTTATCCTTTATCTCATGTATTCATGTTCGGTATGTTGACTGGCTTCTAGATGGAAATTTGTTGGAAATTTTTTGATGCAACACGAATGTGATTTCTTAACGGGTAGAATGGAGGGGAAATTACATAATACACCATAAGTTATTAAACCGGACTCGACCCAATGACTTGGGCATCAGACTGGACTAGGTCTCTAGTTTGATCAGACAAGGAATTAATTCGATCAAACCCATACAAACCTATTTAACCCGATGGTTCAACTAGCAATCGTTCGATTTTCTAATTGACTCAGTCTCTCTCTCTCTCTCTCTCTCTCTCTCTCTCTCTCTCCATGATTGTGGGTCTTTGTTTTTGAAACAAAGTGTATATATGCTTTTGATAAGATTTGTACATTGGATCATCATTTAAATGTACATAAGACTTTACCACTTGCTTAGATTTTATTTGACAACTAAATGTTTTTTAAATAAATTTTCTTACCTTTTTAATTATTCAATTAATCCTTTTAACTTTCAAAATGACAATATTTGAATAGTTAAAAAATTACTTTATTTTTAAACAAAAATAAAATAATGAAAAAATAATGTTATATTTTTTAAAACAAGTGATACAATTTTGTTTTATATTTGACTATATTATTTATTTATGTAAAAGTATGGTAAAATGAAATTAAATCCTCTGTTAATATCTATATATTCATTATCTTTTTTTTAATTCAATAATTAGTATCTAAAAGAACTTTATTAGATATTTTACGTGTATTAAAACTACTATTTTATATTTATAAATATTAAATCAATACTTACAAGTTCAATGATTGAACCAGTGACCCATTGACCCAATCCCTCTATCGGTTCCTTATCGGATCGGATTTAATAACTACATTATAGTATTTTCGAGGAGTTTTATAGTTCCTTTTGGATCTTATAACCGTAAGTTCAATTTCGTCGTTAGATATACAAAAGGAATTAGTCACCCTTTGGATGACATTAAAAGTTTAATCATTGAATAATGTGGCAAGAGTTAAGAGACAATTAGATTATAATCATAGGTAAAGTATCTAAAAAGGTGAGAGAGTGATAGGTTGGATGTTTCGAGGGAGAAAATGTAAGTGAGAAGTCTCAGTTCAATTCCTCTCACTTACACTTAAAAAAATTAAACAAATGATTAAAAAAAAACAAAAAATACCTAAAAAGGACTATTAGAATTTTCAATCATTTTCATCAGTTTCAATGGTTGCTATATTAATGACTTTTTTTTTTCACATAGTCAAAGACCTGCACTGTAGCACGATGTCTTGATCTTTTCATTAGAGGATTTGGTCATCTCAATTGCTCGCTCTCTCTCAAAAAAGTAGCAGCATGGAGTGCCCTTATTAAACCCGATCCGACCCAGCAATGAACTGGACAGCCACTAGGTCTAGCTGGACCCTTAATTGACCAGATAAATAACAACTTGCTTAAACTCATTTGACCCATCAGTTCGCCCAGGAAATTGGTCGAATTTTGGGTTGACCTGATAGGCCTTTGCTTTTGGGTGGGAATATATGTTTTGTCAAGGTTTTAGCCTTGGACGTCCAACTAAATAAGCAAAGATTTTACCACTAGGCCAAACTTTTGCTTGTCAACCAAATACCCCTTTAACTATATTTGTTTACTTTCTTATTGTACAGTAAATCATATTAACTTTTAACCTAAAAATATTATCATCACATGACAATAATTGTATATTTAAGGAACAATTTCATATTTAGGCAAAAAAATAGTAATAAAAGAACAAGAGTTAAATACTAAACAGTCCCTTATGATTTACCGAATATTCAACTTTAACTCTCTATGGTTAGGAAACCTACATTCTAACCCCTTGTAATTTGTCGAATGTTCAATCTAATCCCCTATGGTTCAAAAACCTACATTATAATCCCTGTGGTTTTAACTAACTTGAATTTGTTGCATTAGCCTTCTCCTAATCTATTCAAACATTCCTATGACAGCTATTTCTCTTGCTAGAAGAATGTAGTCATTAAAGGACTCATTGAAATTGCTTATTATGAGAGGCTATAATGTAAGTTTCCAAATCATAGAAAATT